TATAACGATTTCGAATATAATTTGTTTACGTATGAAATAAAGATTATTTGACTTGATTTTGACTTGGTTGAGACAATGGAGAAAAATTAATTAAAGCACGTAAATATGTATAACTAAGTTATAATAAAACTAGTAGTGCGCTAAACTAAGTATTTAAACCCTCTAAGACTTAGCTTTAAACAAACTCACGATACCTAAAAAGTGAGAATGAATGAATGAATGTTTATATGTGCATAGTAAGTATTGTGTGTATGAGGTGTATGGTATGTACAGTGTGCGAATGTGTTTAGGCGAGAGAACTACGAGTTGAGAACTATTAAGAGGAATGTAATGTTATTTGAGGATAGAAAGTAATTGACCAGTTTCGTTATAATTTAAGGTCTTAATCGGTGATAGTCTTTTTACAGAGTGACTTTGGAAGCGCGTACAAGGAAAGCTTATGTTTAATTTCTTGTACAAATAGGATGTGAGTTACATATTAGTACAGTGAAGAGGGTGGCTTTTGAGTTGGGTACATTTACTTTATCTTTCGACGAGTGATGCTCAGTTTCAGTTATCTGAAACTTACGTAATTAAATCTAGTTCTATAACTAACTAGTTTATAACTAGATCTATATGAAATGCCTAATATGACATTAGTCAATTGACCTTTCAATAGCTTAATCGAAAACGCAAACGTAGTTATATCTCATACCACAGAATCGTTCATTTTATTGATTTGTATAACTTGTAAATTATATAACACTTTGGTAGAAGCCGTGGTAGCCTAATGGTTTGACTACTATACTGTATACTATACTGCCTCTCAAACATAGGTTGTGGGTTCGAATCCGCCCTCGCGACTTTGAGTTTTTCGGAATTTATATACGTTTAATTCGAAACTTTTCCATGAGCTTTTCGATGAAGGAAAACATCGTAATGAACGTCAAAGAAAGTTCACAACTCTCGGATAACTTGTTAAGTCCCCAACCCGCATTGGCCCAGCGTGGCGGACTATCGCCTAAGCCGTTGCCTGAGAGCATACCCGTACACAACATTATAGGCTAACGTTGTTGTTGATTGATTTTGTGTGTGTGGCAGCTAATTGATAAAATAGGATTAAGTGTGGCTCAAACAAACACAATTATAAGTTAGCATTTGTAATAATAATAATCAATTTTTGCAGGAAGGAAGATATGTCGAGAATTCATAGGAATTTTGTTACCCTGAAGTCTTAGCAGCGCTTTTTTTGGATATCGATATTCAAATTCAATTTATTTTTCATACATATACAGTATTCATTTCTTTACGGTAAAATAAAATAGAAGTTATCTTTTTGTTCATTTAATTTCTTGATTTTTATTTTTAACAAAGTTGCGAGTTTCATACGTACTTATTATTAATTGTCATTGAAGGAGTCGTGATCAAGTTTGCGTATCGGAAATGATTCAGTAAACATTTCGAAATTATCAGGTTCTCCCGTTCGACAACTAAATCATTATTGACCCTTTCTCAAATAGGCTTCCCGAAATTTACTTTAACCTCCGCTATCAAGGGTTATTCCGAAAATCTGATATTGATATATTTTTGAGAGACAGGTCGTAAATGATGTATATATATTACAAAGTGACCATGAGACCCATAAAGAGCCGAAAACATTGGTTTGTTAAAAAAACAACTAAACGCCATTTTAGATCTGAAAAAGTAGTTTTATCTCAAATATATCGCACGTTACAATCAATACCGTCGCAAAACGAACGTCCACTTTCGAAAAATGAGGTTTAAAGCTTAGAATAATAACGCATAGAAGCCTAGTCCGCACATGCTAAGTGAGGCAAATTGAAGCGCTCCCAATGGGCCTATACGAGCGAGCGGGCCGTCAGTACTCAAGGTCAACATTCACCGCGAACAGATCAAGAATTTTAGCTAAAAATGACGAAATGTGCGGTAAATGAGTGTACGTCTATAAATACGTCAGACAAACATAAAATAGATACTAACATTACATTCCACAAGGAAGTAACGCATTTCAACTTGTATTTTTATATAAATATTCACTAAAACCGAAAATTAACCTACTACTAAAACGTGAGGCAAAAATCAAACTCATGTAGGCTACTACATGAGTTTGATTTTTGCCTCACTTGTGACAGTTCGTTTGATATGAAACGATCATTCCATGCGTTATTATTCTAAGGTTTAAAGTATATAAATAGTTATTTTTGATACAAGTGCGGAAACGTACAAGTCTGTCATTATTCACGAATCTCGAGGCTTCTTGGCCCGAGCCAGAGGTGAGGGTCAAGTCCTTCAGCCGAAAACATAAACGTTTAATTATATTTCTGTAAATATGGCCGCCAGAAAGAGGATAGGCAATTTGAGGCGGCGTGCTTGGATTGACTCGGGATTCCTTAGAACGGGCCGATACGGGTATTTTAGTTCGAGATTCGTATAATTTCGCGTTTTAATCTTCTATTAAGGCACAATAGCACTATCCTATTCCACTTTAAACTAGATTTCACAAAATAATTGAAAGTCAAAATAAAAACGACACTTTTCCCTCCAAAAGGTCCAGTGCGAATCCGATTAATTTGTCAAAAAGTAACAGATATAAACTTAGAGGATGGAAAAAAAAAATAGATATAAACCTTTCTACAGTGTCTTGGCGCAGCATTTATTGATTTTTTTATGCATAATTGTATAATAATTATTATAATTTTAGGTTTATATATTTTAGTTTAGGCAATCGTTTCATCATGTGTGATGAATACGAAATGTTTGAGTATCTCCAAAGTGACACTTCACACGATAATAAGTTGGAAAAAATCCAAAGAAGACAACTGCGAGATCGTGATGATCCGTTTGAAATGGATGCACATCAATTTATGAAAAGATACCGGCTTAGCAAAGATATGGTCCACAGTCTATGCGATGGACTTAAACCGCACATGTCGAGGTCTACAATATCCACCGATTTATTGGTTGAGACTAAGGTTATTTTTCACTAAAGCCCAAAGTATAATTTTTTACAACTTAATTTATAGTCAAATATTTTTAAACTTTTATTGACATGTTTTCAACAGACTACAAAGTAAAAATACACCCGCGGAATTTCGTTGACATTTGATGTCGTTCGGAAACTTAATTCTTATATACAGAAATTAAAATATAGTGTATTGATTTTATTATACACTGTCTTTATTATTAGTATTATATAGTGTCTTTATTTATTATCGTACATGAATAATACGTATCTATTATTTTTCTCTTAAATTAAGCGACAAATATAACACCGTAACTTGTCGGTAAGTATTCATCCATCTTTTTGAACGTTACACTAAAAAGCACGAGCTAGTCAAGTCCCAGGCATAGACAAAATAACCAGCGAAGAGTCGGCGAAAAATATGTACATAATACAAATTTTATCCAGTCAGATTTTGGGCGTAATAAGAAATGCCAGGAACTTGCATGGTTTTTCTAAAACTTCATAATACGCCCCCTGTAAGATGTATACATATATATAATGCGGGCGCGGGTGCGTGTAAATCAAATGTACGTAGACGATCGTTGCGCTCACAGTGGCGTGTATATATATATACCCACTATATATACATACTAGATATAACCACGCGCGGGCCGCGTGGGTATATCTATTGGCTCCTTACCTACCTACCTTGCACAGCGCTTGGTCTAGCGTCTAGCGTCTGTTTGCGATTTCAAAGTGTGGATCTACCCGCTCGTAGCCGCTTCGGCACTGTGAAAGGAAAGACGCCAAGACCCGCGCGTGAGCAGACCCGCAGAATGAGCCTAGTCATTGACCATAATTGAATAATGTTGATGTTGATGTTACAAAATGAACGAGGATAAAGACAAAATCTTAATTTAAGGACATCACAACTCAAACAGTTTCACTTTGATAACGTTGACACATAATGCATTATTTATGAAACAAAACTGTTGGCTGGTGTTGGCTAAGTCTGATGGTACCGACAGACACTTCACATAACGCTTGGCTTTTAAAGCAAGATGATCTCGATTGAATAAAAACATATTTTTCTAAGTAATAGTAATACCAACGTTTAAAAATGAAAAATGAGGCATTTTTCGATAAACTATTGATGCATGACTGTTCGGATTTCACTTCCCGATCTATTATTAGCAAAGATTAAAATAGGTAGAGTATATTTAGCTAAACTTCGGAGCAGTTATACACATAGGGTGGAAAATACCTCCGCCTGAAATTCCGGAATTATTACATCGTCTAAATTGTTAAAAAAAGTTTTGTGATTGTAGGTAAAAATATAAGAATTTTGTTAATATTTTATTTTTAATAATTACGTATTTTTTCAGGAAAGTTTTACTCCAAGTGTATTACTTAAAAATTTATGTAAAAAAAATATACTCATTCCGATCTGTAGTCAGTGATAGATATTGATATGAATCCAATATTCAAGTACTTTCGAAACGCCGCCGCCAGTGTATATACGTAGATCATAAAACTGTTTTTATCTTTCCAAACGTAATACGTTCGGATTAGAAAATAAAATCATTATAAAGCGTTCTTTGTACAGGATATTATAATTTATGAGCTCAGTATGTACGTTCTGTATGTATGTGAGTAGATACTGGATAAATGATATACTGTACTGCCTTCGTCCTTAACCCATTCATGAACAGTAACTTTACAGTACAGTACTTTTGGAAAATTAAATATTAGAATATGATAGCATGGGATATGGATCTAAAAAAACCAACTACCGGTTTTACGGTGCTATTACCAAGTGCTTTAAGTGTAGTTGCCGCCTACTGCTTTTCCATAGACAAATATCAACAACGTACTGACAAATTTCATTTATTTACATATTGAACATTTTATTTATTAAATATAAACACTACGGCAAGAAAAAGTACTGTCCATGGAAGGACTTTGTGTATATAACCGGATTTGTGTATATTACTTTAAGTTAGTTACATACTTTGTGAATCTTTTTTTAACTCAATTGATTTAAATAATCACTTACCAATTAATATGGACGTTTGCTCTTTAGAAAGGGGAGTGGAGATGTTTATTATCACAATCACTATATTAAACACACTTTTGTACTAGAAAGTCCAAGTAAAAACTTTTAGTAATTTAGAAACTTTATTATAAGAGTTCCAATTTCGTATGATTAAAGTTTAACAACAATAGCCGTCAGATAGTTTCCTAGTGAGAAATTGCAAAAATAATGATATTACGCGTGTTGCATTAACAGATGGTACTTTTTTTTTATAATGGTAATAGAGTGCGTTCGTAACTTCGTGAAAATTGTAAGGGATAAGACCGCGTTCGCCGCGCAGCGTGTTCAAATGACTACACCGCTTAGTCGGACGGGGATGCGAGCTACTGTTTAGCGGCGCATGCCCGTGCAATAACGTGGACGATAAACGTGGTAACCAGCACTAATATTATCTAGTGCTGTTCTTCTTAAGCAAATGATAAAACCTCAAAAGAGCGGGTAATCCAAAATCCTAACAGAGAATCTATTTCCTATTTTTAAGAATTTCCCCGATTTTTGAATCAAGTTATGTTATCGTGAGCGCTATTACCCTGTAATATAAAAAACTCATTTTGGATTTGCATCCCTATACAAATGGGCGGTAAATCGAAAAAAAAAAACAAGAAACCAACTCTCTTTATGTTCACCAATTTTTCAATGCTAATGTTGCTTAAAAAAAATTAACTTAAAACTTTATTCCTAAGGCATAATATAATGTTCTGTATAAATATCTGTTATTTTGTCTGTCACGGGGCCATCACCCAACAGAGCTACAAGACCGTGTCAGCAGATCTTGCGTATTTTTAACACGCAAAATAGGAGCCTTGTCGTCGAGCTGCGGACACCAGCCCGTTACACCAAGTACCAAGTACCTACGTATTTTTCTATGTGCTTGTTACAGTCTTTGTATTGGTACCATTGAAGTCTGCACGAGCAATATTTAAGGAATACATAAATAAAGTGATCCAATTGATGCGTTGATAGACAACAGATAATGGATCGCTAATTCATCAACGTCCGCAAACAAAAACAGAAAAGGATTGAAGTATTCTCCGCTATGGAAGGCCATTAGATATTGAATGCGGATAAGAAGGAAGGAAATATCTGTATTACTAAAGATATGGTTTATCTTTTTAATTACATTTCATCTTTTTGATATTTGTCGTATATTTATTTGATTGTAAATAACAACATCTTATCTTTTAAAATTATTCTTACAATACTGAAGGTCCATTTCCACCGGCAAGGCGAGACGAAGATTGAAATTTGTATGCATTGACTTACAAATAAATGGACGACGGGTCTAATACAAAAACCACGAAAAACATGTCCCAAGTCAACCTATTCGAAATTTAAATTGTAATGTCATCGCAGTATCGCGCTGTCAGTCGAACAAATGAAGACTAAAGAGGAGTTTGGAGCTCTGTATACGATTTTAGCGCCTTACAAGTGCGGACACTTTTTAGCGCGGACCCGACGTCCATATAATTGTAAGTCCATGTTTGTATGGCAAAATTTCAATTCTCTCCTAACAAGGATGTACGAGATGAGAAATAAAATATTTTTCTTTACATACCAGTGGCGTGAAGAACAAGACGTGCGTCTGGTGTTAAGCAATACACCTGTCATTAACAGTTACAGCCTCACTCAGAGCTTTAAATCGCAAAGATCTACGGGACACTGCCACTCCGCCCGTCCCTCTGAGACATAAGTTGACAGGTCCCATGTGCTTGTAATTTCGACAGCGCCCTTACCTTTCAAAACTGGGATGCAGTAACCCTCACATTCCTGCTTGGCGGCAGAAATAGGTAACGTGGCATTCCTGGACAAACTCTTTCACACAAAGAGCTTTACTGCTATTAAAACTAATATTTACTAAAGCTACTAAAATTAATACCCTTCGGAACCGAGTCGATCTCGTACTGTGCGGTTTTAGAGGAGCTTTCTGCCATGTACAATTAGATTGTGGGAAAAACTCCCTGTCGGGACTTTCTCGCAGGCATACAGCATGGAGTCGTTCAAAAGCGGTTTGAGAAGGGACCTAAAGGGTTGGCAACGTACTCGTGATGCCCCTGGTGTTGCAGGCGTTCATTGGCGACATTGACCGCTTTCGACCAGGCGGGTCGTGTGTTTGTTTGCTGTCTACATAATATAAAAAAAAATTGTTGGTGTAATATTGTACTGTATACACCATAGATATACAAAAATATCTATGGTATACATTTTTAGTGTAAATAAAAAAAGTGGGAAAAGTACCTTAAGGTACCATGAACAGTGTGCGTTATTGCGAAAGAGCCTACACCATCTATTCTACCCTTCTTATCATAACTAACGTAGTAGACATTTTTAGCGAAATTGAATTACTAATATTTGGAATCAACGAAACGTAAATTACTACTACTTGAGTATTGTTCGTATCTCTGAGCAGGAGCTCCAAAATACCAGCTTGACCCACTTAACTCCATCCAACGTATGGCTGTTCGTATTGTCGACGATCCCAAACTCACAGACGGTATGGAGCCCCGTAGCTTACGGAAAGACGTTCGCTCTTGTGTGTGTTCTACGGTCTATCGGGCTTGATGAAAACCAGCGCTATAGGTAAGATATCCTGTCCGTAGCTAAACGCTGAGCAAGTCCCATTTGTGTGCACCGCGACACTCATTTGCTTTTATTATTACTCGTATTATTATTGTGTGTTTACTGTGATGTTGTGAGATTATCAAAAGTAAATTGCATTTGTGTGCAAATTACTTTTTTTTGTCTCCTTGTTGTATTATGCTATAGTTTTAAGTTTATAATATTATAATATGATAGTTTTCAAGTTCGTTAATGTGTGTCTTGGCAAACACAATAAAGTTTTCTTATTCTTTGTAATGGAGAGTGCTCTGAGGAACTTTCGAATTGGTGCCACCGTCTCGTTTCTACCATTGCACCTCTCGCCAAAGGAGTAGAGTCCATCCCCACATCTCAGATGCCTAGCATTGTAAGACCACGCGGGCATCTCATCTTCCTCGAACCTGCAAGATGTGGAATGATCTTCCTTCTGAAGCATTTTCTTCGCGCTATGACATGGGGTTCTTCAAAAAGCGTGTTTACAGGGCTCTGAAAGACTGAATGCGCATAGGCAGCTCATCTGATGTTGCAAATGTCCATGGGCGACGATGACCACCTCCGATCAAGTGGCTCGTCTACTCGTTTGCCTCCTTCTAAAATAAAAAATAAAAAAACAATAAAAAAAATAAAAAAACTAATACTACTTCTACTATTTAGTTTCAGTTTTATTATTTATGGATGTCGTACACTTAAAATTGGAACATACTGTACGCTGTTGTGCTCGAGATTAAATTGATTTCCGCTTTGTGCGACAGAAATAGCTAAAGCGATGGTATCAGGCGAACATGTACACAGAGAATTATTCGGAAACCGCGTCGTAGGATGCTACTTTTCTGAATGTATTATTCATGGCAAATATCCTACGTTGGCATTGCCGCATTAGAAGGCAAACATACTGGGCAAATGTGTATATAGAGTTATACCTAAGCTATCTAAATAGCAGAATAACCTCGATTATCCCAGATGCGATGGTGATTAAAAATATAAAAGAAAATTCACAAAATAACCAGCGGAATTCACATAAAATTGATAAACATCTTTGCAAATAAAAATATGTTTTAGAACTTCCTGAACAATCCATTGTAAGTATATTAGTACGTTTAAAGTGATTAACGTTGGTTTAAATATTATGCTTGCTGATATAAAAATGACTTGCTAGCTCGTTGCGTTCGTTATGTTACACAAAATCATAAATCTTTTTTAGGTGACGATGAATTTATTGTTCCTGTATGAGAGTAGAGTTGTGCCAATAGTATAAGAGTTGTTACGTTATTAGCTTATTTGAGTGAAAGTTTACCTCCTGTGTAAGAGTTACTTGATTTGATGTCCACCAAGTGGCCACCAATCAGTGTTTTCAAGTTATCTGTAGTTTGGTTACTTAAGGTCACTTATTTAAATTTTTTATTGAATTGATATTCAATTATTTTTATGTGAAATTACTCCACTAGTTTGTTATAATTATTAATACAAAGATCGAACACTCAGAAAAAATTCCTTCGATCCGGCCGGACTCGAACCGACGTCTTCTAGCATAACGTGCCAGACGCTTACAGGAGTTTGAGAATACAATGAGACAAGTACAACACCTCCCACCTCACACGGCATCTCAATGCCTATACCTTGCTCGGAGCGTAGGGTTGTCACGTTATTAATTTTTCATCACACCTGCACGTAATTAGTATGATTGTATGCTGGCTAACTTCACTGTAATGCCCCAAATAAAACCTGGACCTATTTCTTCGCATTACTGATCTTGGCTGCAATGAGAAGAAAAAAGGCCCGAGGGTTTTATTTGTGACATTATAATAAAATAAAATCATACTATTTACGTGCAGGTGTGATGAAAAACATTGTATGTTTCAAAGGCGGTACGGAAATTACGGACCTCAACTCCGAAATCTTCTAATAGAGTCTCGTTCGTAATTACTTTCATAATTTCTGAACACGCCTTTTACGGATTCTATCATGGTTAGAGTCTCATATAATGGTGACTGCCTTAGTGCCTTCGTGCGGATTAGATGTAGAGCGCACAGTGGGTGTCGGTGCTGGCGCAGAGCTTAACGTGGTATTGTCGGAATAAAAAAGTGATTTGTGCCAATAGATGAGGGTTACTGAGATATTATTATACTTATTAGGTCAAAGATATACTTAAAATAACGAAATAGAAATGAAATGCGAACTTGTACGTGGATAAAGTTTTATTTACAAAATAAATTAAAAAATTGCAAAATTAGAAACAGAAAAATAGTTTTTTAAAGTTAAATAAATTCCCTTTCGGTAAGCAAAAATCTTTTCGGAAGGCACGGACAATGTGGTAAGAATTTTAGACCTTTCGATCTATTAAAAATCGATATTTCAATATTGTAATTTATGTGCTCCTTTTAAAATTGTTGGTTGAATATTATCTTCATT